CTATCAAAATTCCCTGTAAATAGGCCAACTTACACTAATCGAAAGTGCCCCTTAATCTTCATTTGCAACAATGGATATCACAATCAACTTCTACCCTTATTGGATCTCCACTAATTGTATACTGTAATCCTATTAATGGTTGAGAACTGAAATGGAATGTGCTATACATTGAAGATTGGCCCGCTATGTACTAATTATCTTGAATTTCAATCTTCAAGTCTATTCTTATTCAAAAATTGGACCACTATATACTATGTTACACAAAGAGTTCAAATGCTACATTATTAAAATTTAATGATAAACCAACGGAAACAAAATGAAATGGTCCCATGCGAAAACGATTATCCAACTACTCTGAAAAATCGGGTGTCGTACTAGGTACTAATTAACTGTTCACAGATTACCAATTGAGAAAGTACCTTCATATGACCAATAGGAAGTAGGTGGTGTTTCGGATTCAATGGGTTTGATGTTTTTCCCAAATATGTGGTTGTATGATCTTAAGAAGAAATGATTGAATCAATGTATGAATATGCTCTTAGATTTTCAAAGAATAATATGAATGTGTTTAGAGAATAAGCATAATGAACAACCACACAAATTTTTGTGCATAGGTTTGGGTATTTATAAGAGAGGGTAATTAGGTTGAATGGGCCAGAAAAATTCTTCGAAACGGCAAAATAGTGTTTTCCTGATCAACATGTCGCTCGAGCAAGAAGCTGGCGACAGACAAGGAAAACTTTGTCACTCGAGCGAGAGCTCAGCGACGGCGGGGGACATGCTTTCTATTTTTGTCGCTCGAGCGCCAACTGGGCGAGAAGCTAGCCAAAATGCGGTGCCGTGTTTCTCCTCTTTTCATGCTAGAACCTTAGTCCTCATAACCCAAGTTATAAAAATTGAAACACGTTACAAATTGATCATTTTGTCCACAAAATTGCCAACTAAAAACCTAACATACTGCATGGTAAAATTTATGACAAAAGAAGCAATTTCACTATTTCATTTACCCTTAACTGATCAGAATTCCCTATAAATAGGCCAACTTACACCACTTCAAAGTGCACCTAAATCTTCATTCGTAGCAATGGATGTCCAAAGCAACTTACTGATGATTACTAGCGCCGATGAATCTCCCGTCAATGGTCAAGTGGGCAGTTACAACCAAACCAAGATCAAGCGCTCTGATTTTCCTGACGATTTTGCATTTGGTGCTGCAACTTCAGCTTATCAGGTATACGTGTCACAGACATATTTATTTGCTAGCGTACTAGTATTTGAGTTTTAATATTATGAATTCATAATAATATTAAACTTTTTTGATTTCGGTTAAAGAACAAAAAATAAAAAAAAAGAAGAAGAAGAAGAAAAATTACTCATGTAATTTGATTCTGTTCTTGCTTTTG